TGTATATCATTAAATATTTCTGGAAATATACAATTTCAATGGATGAATAATATTTAGGCATATGGATAAATTATAATATATAACTATTTCCCTGCTCTTGAAAAATTATTTTTTTACTATTATAAGTAAAGTTATAACAGACATGCTTGTATATAAACATTTGTTCACATTTCTGATTATTTCCTCATCAGAGATTTGTATAAGTACAACTACTGGGTCCAAGAATGGACATGATAGATTGTCAAAGTTCTTTCCGTAAGGGCTGTCATAGTTTACATTTCCTTCATCAGTTATAAGAGAGTTTCTCCCAACCTTTCCAGAATTATTACCTTTTAACACATTTGTGATTTGATGACTGAAAATAGTATTTCCCTTTTTTGTGAATTCACTATTTACACTCTGTCGGTTTTTTCCTCCTTGTTTGTTAGTGTTTTATGGTAGGATTTAAAGCAAGTTAATGACATGATAAAGTATGTATTTAAGAGAGATCACCAGTGTCTCGGAGGATAATGTGGGGCAAAATAGGAGTCACAGATCACGCAGACCTCAATTAAGGTTCTGGTCATAGGGACAGAGAAAGAAATGAATTCAAGAAGAGCTAGAGAAGGACTCACAGAGGGTTTCCTCACATTATTACCTACATCCCTATTCACGCCTGTGTGCATTGCACTCAGGGCTCTGCCTTCTCACCTGTTACCATGGGTAAACTATCCTTGCTTTGGTCTAAAGCCATTCCCTCCATTTGTATAATGATGCCATCCCTCTCACCTACTCAACGACACTGCACCAACAATTCTTTATTCTGTTTCTCCTGTATCATCATTTCTTCAATCTCTTCTGTAACTCTCCCATCAATATGCTGTAATTTCTCCCATTTACAAAAAAAGAATCTGTATCTCTCCTGATTCCACTTTCCCCACTACCTACCACACCATTCCTTTGTTCCCTATTACAGCAAAACACACAGAGGGCTCTATTTGCTCTTCCTCCAATTCTTTTCCTCTCTTCTCTCTTAAACCCTTTTGTGTGGATACACTCTAAGGTAAACCCCAGCGAATCACACCCTTGTATAACTCCCTCCCCTTGAATGTGGGTGTAAGTTGTGAGTGGCTTCTATCCATCAGAATAGGCTCTTAATTAGGTTATGTTACATAAAACTCCCTCTTAACCTACTGGAAAGGAAAGAGATGCTCTCCTGCTGGTCTTGAAGAAGCTTAGCTGATGAGAGGTGCTGTGAAAGGGCCCCTTGGCAGGAGGCTGCAGGTTGCCACTGGGAGGTGAGCGTGGCTCTCTGCCAACAGCCTACAAAGAAATGTGGGCCTCAGCCCTGCGACTGTGAGGAGATGATTCTGCAACAACCTGGTGAGCTTGGCAGTGCATTCTCCCCTTGTTAAGCCTCCAGATGAGAACACAGTTGGCCAACACCTTGATCACAGCCCGGGGAGACACTGAGCAGAGGACCAGCTAAGCTGTGCCCAGACTTCTGACCCATGGTGACTGTGACATGATAAATGAGTGTTGCTTTGAGCTGCTAAGTGTGTGGTAATTAATTGGGCAGCAATAGAAAACTAACACACCTTTCCAGGCAAGTTTTCAACCCCAGTATGAAACTATACTGCCCATACCAAGGTCAGCAGGGAACTCCACATCACTAACTTCAACAATGTAGTTCATAGCCCTCATCTTATCAGCAGCATCTGACACAATTGATCACGTCATCCTTGATTCATTTTCTTCACCTGATGGCGAGGACTTCCTCTCCTTCATTCTCTTTTTCTCCTTTTAGAAACTCCAGCTAGTGATGTTAGACCTTCTCCTTCTTTCCTCCAAATCTCTTAGTCTCTCTTTTGTATTTTCTATCCCTTTATCTTTCTGCTGCATTTTGGTTAATTTCTTCACATTTCCCTTTCATTCTAATAATGCTTACTTGAACTATGCCTAGTCAGCTATTTAACCTTTCTATTAAATTATAAATATCAGTGACTGTATTTTTCTCTTTTGAGAAAGTCTGTGGCTCTTTTTAAACCCAGCTGGTCTTTTCCTGTATTTATACAAAGCTTAAAAGTATTTCAGAAAACTAATACTGGATATTTATTGTTACTTTTATACAAAATATAAGCATATCATATTCAACAAATGAGTAATGGGCTTCCCTGGTGCTTGAGAGTCCACCTGCTGATGCAGGGGACGCGGGTTCGTGCCCCGGTCCGGGAAGATCCCACATGCCGCGGAGCGGCTGGGCCCGTGGGCCATGGCCGCTGAGCCTGCGCGCCCGGAGCCTGTGCTCCGCAACGGGAGAGGCCACAACAGTGAGAGGCCCACGTAACAAACCATCAAATCAAAAAGACTAAAATACCTAGGAATAGACCTACCTAAGGAGGCAAAAAGGGAGAGACCCAAAAAAAAAAAAAAAAAAAAAAAAAAAAGTCACTCTGTCAGTTAATGGCTTCTTTCTGCTGCCAGCAATCTCTTTTCACTGTCCTCAGTCTCTCACCCAATACATAATTCTATTTCTTCTTGATTTTTCTGCAGGATTTTACATTGTCAAACACTCATTATATTCATTTCTGATTAGTTTGTTTGATGTAAATCTTGGTTTTGATCATCTCTATCTATCCAGTCCTTTGGAGTTTTCTTGGTATTTTTTCCTTTATACGATCTTACATTTAAAGAACATTTTTGGAGATTTAAAAATATATACAAAAGGGGAAAGACTAGTGTAGTGAATTCTTATGTACCCTTCTCCTTGCTTCAAGACTATCAAGACTATCAAGAAAAAGCCAAGCATCTTTCAATTTTTTTTTGGCTTTAGTATTTTTAAAAGACGTCACTTCATTAATTTTATCTAACACTCAATATACATTAAAAATCCCTAATTGTCCCCAAAATGTTATTTTATTATTGATTTACTGTCCCACTTTTAGTGATGATTGATTGAGGTGTAGAGTCACCTCATTATAACAAGAGACACTTCTATCACCAGGAAATTCCAAGGGATTTAGGAGCTCTGTGCCAGGAACCAGGGACAGAGACAATACATATATTTTCTGATTTTTCCAAATGGTGGATAGGGTTGGTATAGTGAGCTAATTTGCTTATTCCCTTTCTCAAATGGAAAACTTTAAGTGCTTCACTATTAATGATGATATTCCTTTAAAAAAAAAAGTTAAAATACCCTTTATCTGATTCAGAACCTTTTCCTTTATGCCTAGTTTGCAGAGTTTTTTTTAACCATAAACTGATTTGTCTGCATCTTCGAGATTATAATATGATTTTCCTCCTTTATTTTGTTAATAAGTTAAAAAAATTTCTTTAATAAACTTTTGTTAGTTTAGGTTTTTCAAGAAGCCAATGCCAAAAAGGGATTAGACATATAAGGTATTGGTTGGGAGAAATGACTGTAAAGGATCGATGCGGGGGAACAGGAATGCAGGGAGACCATGATGGAGGTCTGGCACTGTGAAAGGAGAGGGCAGACAGAGGAGGACTGGGCAGGAAGAGTCTCAACAGAGACCACAGCAGAGTGCTAAGAAGGTTCTGGTCAGGTCGATGGGAAGAGCTTGTGCAAAGTCACCCGTTAGAAGTATTTTGCGCCTGGCATCCTTGCTTTACTTAGTCACTGGCTGAGAGCACACTGGGGGAGCTTGACTTCAATTGTGAACACAGTGGTAGATCAAGAGGGGTGCAAGCTGCGGGTGTCAGTCAACTATACTCCCCGTATCAGGAGATCTGAATGGTTCTCACCTGCTCCATCCGCAATTATGAAAAGACATGTGCAGTAAACTCAAACTGAGAAAGGAATAACTATTTGGAATTCGGAACCTGCACGTATGTAGGCCTGAGTCACATCACTAGGTAAGGCACTCAGATTTGCTGAGGTAATAGTTAAGGGAAATTTAGAATGAATAGTGGAGGAGGGAGAGAGTGTGCACCAGTTGCAGCCCCGAAGACTAACTGCAGTAAGGGAATAGCTCACCAATCTTCCTTCTGTAAACTTCCAGTGAGATCATGGAGGCGCTGATCCCCAAACCTGTGTGAAGCACCAGATCTGTGTGGTGCAAGGGCAGACTGTGGTGGCCATCAAAACGCACCGTCTTCCCTCAGACCTCTCACAAGTGTAAATGCACTAGAAGAAAATGTGGGAGGATTAAAAATAACAAAACCCAGAGTAGGGAAGATCTACAGAAGACATATAACCTAGAAGCCATAAAATAAAAGACTGATGAATTCAAGTGTATAAAACAAATTCTGCATGGAAAAAAGGTTCATACAAAGTCAAAAGACAAATAAAAAAAAACGGAACGCATATCACAAAGGCCTGAATTCTTTAATATATATATATATAAAGAACTCCTAAATCAATAAGAAAAACACCAATAGTATCAGTCCTAATGGACAGTGACAAAAGCTCCAAAATTTCCATGGCTCAAGCCAGAAAAGTTTATTTCTCATGTGTGTTTTCTGTCCATCGTGGGTCAGTGGGGCTCTTTCCTGTGATTTCCTCATTGCAGGACTTAATGCTGATGAGCAGCTATCTCCTGGTGTACTCTTGGTAATTGCGCAGAGGGAAAG